TTGGGCCGATTTATTGCGCGTCGGCCCAAAGTGTCGGTCGGCCGCGCGTTGCGCCGCCCCCGCCGCCCCCGCGGACGCGCCGGGCCGCAGCACGCGACGCCTCCGCCGGCACAACACGTGCGTATACGCCGTACGCGGCGCGCGTCAGGAGGACCGGCAGGACGCAAAGCATTCCGTGAATAAGCTCCGCACAGCGCGGGAGCCGTGCCGGCCGGCCGCGCAAAAGCGGAGGGGGGGGGAGTCTACTGTCTAGGGGGCCCCCGCGACCCGGCAAAGGGGGAGGGGGGGGCGTCGGCACTGGTGGGCGGCGACGGCGTCCTTGTGGTGGGGGAGTAGCGGCGTCCCTCCCGCCTGGACGCGGCGGACCGGCCCGGGCCCGGCGCTGACTCAACACGCCGTCATATATACTACGCCGGCACCGCCGGCCGGCTTCAGACCCAACGCCCCGGGCACCGGCGCAACACACGCGCCGCTCCGCGCTCCGCCCCGTGAGAGAACCGCGAGGACGAGCATCGCGAGCAACCGCGCGCTCCGAGCTCAACGAACGCGTGCCCGCTAAGAGCAGCTAGAGCAGCCGGCCCAGCGCCCTGCCCGCCTTACCTGCTACCCCACGTGGGGCTCCGCCCGCTCCAGCCGCAGGCCACACCGCGGGCCCAGCAGCCGCCCGCCCGCCCCGCGCAGCAGCAGCAGCGGCAGCAGCAGCGCCAGCAGCCCGAGCGGTGCGTTGCGGTAGTAGCGGTGGCGGTGGTTGACGTCGAGCCCAGTCCGAGCCGGGCTCAGTTCAGTTGTCGCCTGGCCCTCGCCCGAGGAGCACGCCACACCGTGTCGCCCCCGAGTCGCCTACCTGGAGCCAGCCCTCGCGCGGCTCAAGCGCGTTCCGCCCAGTGGATTACTGCAGTGCATGTGTCGGATACAGTGATGGAGCAGAGTGTGCGGGCCGTCCGGCGGCCACGGCCCCGGGCCGTTGTCGTCCTCGAGGACGTTGTCGTTGCCGTGCACGACCTCCATGCCGTCGAGGCCAGGTCCGAGGCGCCCACCGAGGTCCTGGACCGCGACCAGCGGACAGTGCGGGTGCCCGAGGTGTGCAGGGGTTGCCGCCTCGCGGCCACCCGTGTTCAGTGCTGTGACAAGTGTCAAGTCGAGTTAGTCTGTGATCAAGCCCACCATAGTGTTCAACATCGCCGCCATAGGATATATCGCCAGTCGTCTTTCAGGACGAGGACGAAGTCAAGATCGTCATCGTCCTGGTTCCCCGTCGGATCCGTAATAAGATGTAAGTAGTAAAGCACGGACACATTTGACAGGTCCCATCCGGCCTTACGTCAAAGACAGTGGGCCTAACCCAGACCAAGCCATTCGCAGCTTCCGCCGATTCAATCGCTTCATCTCTAAGAATAAGCTCGGCCGGGATCGGGTTTGGTTGATCCGATGTCGCCGCACCGGTGTCGCTGTCTCGGCGGCCGGTTAAGGCGAGCTTGATGACGCCCCTGCTGCTTAACCCGCAGAAGGGTTGTCGTCAGCCAATGGCGGGGCGTGGCGGGGCGGGGCGGGGCCGTGCGGCTGCATTCATTAGCGCGTGCGCTTAATGGGTGCAACGCGCAACGCGACCTCGACATGTGCACCGCGTAGGGCCGGCCGCACCTGTATCTCTCTCTCTCTCTCTCTCTCTCTCTCTCTCTCTCTCTCTCTCTCTC